CTCAGGGAATGACTACGTCATCCAGGAGCCAAAATTGACGCGTGTTAGACAGGCTTGCTAGACTGAACAATGGAAATCAAACCTATCCGTCGCAATGACCCTATTTTGGAACAGCAATTTCAGGGTTTCAGCAAGACATTATATTCTCCTGGGTTTCAGTTAATAAATTATCCAAGAAAGCCACGCAGGTTCCCTTCAAAATTTCAAGAAAGTGAGCGTAAGAAAGGGGGTACCCATACAGGTTTTGGGACTTGTTTGAAAAGTTCATTCAGAAAGAAAACGAAGAGGAGAGACGCAGTTGAGACAGGTGGATATAAAATTCGAACTGAGTTTTATATAGTGGCTGTCATATCCATTTTATTTTCAGTTATGTTTTCGAAAAATGTATGTAAAAAAAATACTTGAATATGTTACTTACCAAAAGGCACAGTTTTTGGCGCCTCATTTGACGCTTAAACTTACGTTTTATGTATCATTTTATGTACCATTTGTATGTACCATTTGCATCTACCATTCTTATATACCATTTTTAATGTACCATTTTTCAAATTGGAGGAATCCAGCGAGGCCACGCTCTAAAATAAACCCTGTATTTAGGATTTCAAAACTTTCTTCTTCCTATAATTAGTTTTTAGTTTTTTCCTATGATAGGTGGACTGTGCAGGAAGCGGTAAAAGCCTCTGCAGTAAATTGGACATTAAGTTTCTGCCTACGGTCAGACTGTTCAGAGATGGTAAACCACTTGGAGATTACTCAGGAGAGAGAAGTGCAGGTAATGTGCGAGAAGATTCTTTATTAAAGAAAACTTTTCAATTTACTGTCGACGATCAAGAAATCTTCGGCAAATGGCAAAAGTTGAACTTCCCTTTGGTTTTTTTCAGTCGTTTTGGCATGAACAGAGAAAAGAAGTTTGTTTGGGGATTTTTTTAAAGAGCTCATTTAAAGATTATTAGAAGAAGAAAAGAAAATGATCAGATCTAATTGTTCATCTATTGTTAAGACCTTAAACTTACCAATCATATGGGATTCTGTTGCAAGGGGTTTACTTCACTGAGCGCTTTGACTTGTCCAGAAAACTAGCGCTACCCTCGGCTCATCCAATCAGATGCGAAACTGAAACCATTCATGACTCAGTCGCTCACGATCGTGTTTTGACCCTACTTTGAAAAAAATCTGCTTTTCTCACCCTCTGGAAATATCTTTTCGGGTGATTCACAAACAGTTTACTGATCAGTGATACCAAGAATAGGAAATATTGCATCTAATCTGAAAAAAAATCCTCAGAAGCTAAGAAACTGCGCTTTTTGTCAATAAGGCTAAACGAGGCACGAGTTAAGTCACAGTTTTGTGCATCTTACAAAAATATAACCCAAATCTTTTTAGTTTTTCTTTTGAAATTAGTGTTCAGCCTGTCTATTAAGCCACTAGTGTTTCCCTATAGATTCTCAACGAATCAATTTTAAGATGAAAATCAAACATGATTTGATCAGTCTTGCTATCCTGCGCTTAAGACAGCTTGCTTGTTATTACTATGAACTCTCTTTGGGTCCTCGTAGCGTCTTCTTTAATCTGATTGACGAAATGAGTATTTTAGTTTTTATTTTACGACACTTAAAAGACGAGAGCTCTGAAAGACCGTATTTGGTGTGTTTCTTTCAGATGCCGTCCTAGAGTTTCTGCAGAAAGCAATAAAAGCACCAAATGACATGAAATTGACGATGTCTGATGACGTCAGCGGGACACCACCTGACGTCACACCTTGGCACGCGGATGACAAGAAAAGCCATTGAAAATAAACAACAATATATTCTTATTTATTTACAATCTTGAGCGGAGCTTAAGTGAAAAGTGCTGAAATCATTTAAAAGCGAGTGGCGACTCGCATGCAAAGTAAAGAGATACTGGCTTCGAGCGTGGAAGAGAGAAGCTAGCTTTCTCTTTGAGCATAAAGTCGGCGTGGCGAGCGGGCACTGTAAAGAAGAGACACGATCGCGAGAACACTGCCATTGCACTAACCTTGAAATTAAAATTACAGTTATCGTCTTTCTTTTATATCTTTCCTTTATTTTGTTAGGGTATAACCAATAAGGAATAGCCCATTGCATATCATCTTTTTTGTCTTTTCTGTGCGTGTGGAGATAATATTTTCTCCTGAGTGAAATGACAACCCCACATCCTATGGAAATCCTAGTAAACACTATCCCTCCCTCCCCATCCAAGGAATCCCTATCTTCGCGGGAACTTTGATTGCCCAACGTGGGGTCGACCTTATAAAGTAACGCTCCCTGGGTACGAGGTGAACAGTAGGACCACCATCCGTATTCCATCCATGTTGAATGTGAGGGAAGTGGACGCCTTTTGCTTACGTAAGATTCTGGAGAATTTTAGGAACTTTTCTTCGAAAAAAAAGATTTCTCTGTTTCAGTGATGTTTTCTGTTCTTTTTGGTGCCAAGAAATAAAATGAAGAGGTTTAAGTGAAAGCAAAATTCCTTTCAAAGTTGGGCGATTTATGGGTTATCACATTTTCTTAATTTTCACAGATCCTTCATACATTCATGGCTTAAGGCGGGGGTAAACCTGAAAAAATGCCCATTTTTCACTCATTTTTCACAGCTAGGACTTAATTCAAAACTTAGGCAAACTATATATCCCTGGAAAGCTTATGACTTGAAGATCATGAAAAAAAATATTTCAGACTCAACATGTCAATTGTAATAGGATACCACTCATTTAATTGAGCCACCTGCTGGGTTCTACCAGGGGTTACTTCAGAAAAGATAACTCCTTCTGGAATTAATGAAAAATAACGTTTTTAGTATCAATTCAAAGAAGACATGTTGCTTATTGTTATAAGCAGAGGGATTTCTAATATGTTGAAAACATTTTAAATGATGATCAATTAAATTTGACATGGAAAATCAGAGGGGTGTTTCACTTCATAACTTTAAGTACATACATCATATGGAAAATTGCTCTGCTTATAACACAAAACTTATCAAAAGGAACAAATGCTGAAAATTTCAGATCAATTGGATAAATTGTTGTCAAGATATCCTTTCTGGAAGACAAAATTATTGCGTAATGAGAAAATGGCCTTTAAACTTACAGATAGCAATCAAACTTAATTTTTTACAATATGTAACCACTATAGTGGCCCAAGTGTCCATATTTTGTCCACAGGAGTATCTAAAAGTAATTTAAAAACATCCTGGTTCATAAGTAACTCCTTCAGCTTCTCGAAGGGCTTCCTCTCGACGAGTCCTCAGAAGTCGCTCCCCTTGACGCCGTCTCTTTTCCTTCTGCATAACCTGCAAATCGGACTTAGCCTATCTTTTACTGTCTTTTGCATGTGTTGCCACTCTTGTACAAACACCACCAGGGATACAAAGCCTCTCCATGATTTTTAGCCTACTAAAAGACTTGGCGGTTAATGTCATATGATTTCCCTAACTGGGTCACACCACTGGATGGTGGAAGTGGACTGGATTCCTCACAGGAACTACACTGAAGGGAAAACTGTAACCCCCACTCTTGCACTTTTATCTTCCTCAAGAGTTAAGGTGCCTAAAGACAAATCAAGTGAAAATTGTTAGATAAATCGGGCAATTTTGTTATAAGCAAAGTAAAGACCTCAAGTCAGAAATACACATTCTGTGATTTTTCCCCATAATTTTTTGTTTACAGTGTCTATGCACAATACCTAAAAATCTTTCTCTTACCCAATCCAAGATTTAATAGATAAATCAGTGTATTTAGCAGGGAAAAACTGGAACTATGGGTCGATATGATATGGGAAATAAGTCATAATCGAGAACAGAGAAAGACAGAGATTTAAAAAAATTTCTCACCTTTCTCACACACGTGTGCCTTTGAGACGGCCGTGGATAAATTTTTCTCATTTATTAATCTAAATCTCTCGCTTTCCTCGGTATTGAAGGTATACTCTTCATCAGAGCTGTCTAAAAGAAGCGGCATATTTCATTTTCTTTCTGGAGGAACCAACGGTTTCTTTAGAGTCCGAGTCAGAGAGCTGATTTTCATCCAGCGAAGTGCTCGGAGTTGAGGCGGCGATTTCGTCAACATCGGGAGCTGTTTCTTCAGACTCTTGTTTTGTTTTCGCCTTCCAGAAAAACTTCTCTTTCTTTTCTTCCTGTAGACAGATCTACTTTTCTCTCCGACAATTTTCGATATAACTTTTCCTTTGATTATAACTTTTCCTTTGATTGCTCCGAGTACACCGAGTGTCACATTCGACAAAAACTGCCTCTAAATCTATCCCATAATGGGTTTGACCCTAGAAAACCCTTCAGATAAGACTACATAAAGTATCTCTCGTTAAATCCTGCCCGTTTGGGAGCTTGGTTGCCAGAATAACACATCATAAACAACTGAAAAATCAAAAAATGCTCTTCTCGTTGCCATGGTAACCACACCATTAACCAGAGCGGGAATTTTGAAATCGCTCAAAAAGGCAAAAATAGTGAAAATAAGTAGAAAATTATTTTTCCACAGCGAAGTTGAATACCCAAAGCTGCAAATTCCGAGGAAAACAAAAAACTCAGTTTTTGAGCAAATTTCAGGTTTACCCCCGCCTTAAAGAGAACTTTTTTCCATCGGATAATTTTGAAATATCTAATATTAATTTTTTTGAATGGTGTTGTACTTTACAGTTAATCAAGGCAAAAAGTCAATTTTCATCAGAAATTGAAAAACAAAATTTCAAATGACATCATATTCATTTGGTTAGTTATGCCCTTAGTTCTTAGATGCCTATGATTAAATGACGTCATAGGCAGTCTTTATCACTAACAATGTTCCTCATGAAATATCATAAACGGAGGAAAGGTTTAAAGACATCTTTTCAAACATCCATAACTGAAAAAATTAAAATTGAGAAATGGGCATACAACTCGATCAGTAAATGTGAGTTTTTGCACGTACTGTGGACCTAGCCTATCAACTTTGCCATATGCGGAGACTGGACACTAGGGATCGTATTGAGTGCCAAAATGGCGACCTCCTTAGTGAAAGAGGTGGCAAAGCAAGAGCTACCTCCAAAAGGTGGTTATCCTGCCATTGTGTATGCCAGGAATATACCAACCAGAGGCCCTTCTGGTATAGCATTGTTCCTTGGCGGAGCAGCCGTGATGGCGTACGGATTTTATCGTGTTATTATGGGGAACCGAAAACGATGGTAGGTATAACATCTAGAATGCAGATTGCAAGGCTACGCGTTATTGTATTGATTGGTTATTTGTGCCTTTGCCTAGTACTCTATGAGAATTTAATAACTATTATATATTTTTTTATTTGTAACTGTGACAATTATCGACAGGAAGCACTTCATTCATTCAATTTTGCCCTAACATTCGATGTAATTAAATTATTTTCAGTGAACTGAGGAAAGAGCAAATGGAAGCAAGGATTGGATTTCTCCCACTTTTACAAGCAGAACACGACAGAAAGTATGTGCCACCGAAAAAGCCCCCTATGGCCCTCGAAGTTAACTTTATTTATGGCAACAAACTAATCCTTTCAGAGAAAATATTTCAAATTCATTACCCGAGGTTTCAGCTGTTGTTAAGTGTTGCTAAAATTAGAATTAGATTATTGGGTTGTGAAAGAATGAACATCCTCATAAACAATTGATTTAACAACATTAAATTATTATTGGCATAGCTACTTTTTGAGAGTCATTAGCAATGAGTTAAGAATTATTTTCAGTTGAGGTTTGTATGCAATATTAGGCACGGCATTGATTGCCTCAACATTCTCTGTCAGCTGACCAGTTATTTCATACCCACAGTTATTTCATACCCAGTTGGTTTGAGCTCAGCAAGGACCGTTGATACCCAGCCAGTTTAGTCATTTTGCACCCATACTGCAAAAGTATTTTCTCTTCGTCTAGTAGGTGTAAATTAAGCTGGGTTTATTATGTTAAATAGCATTGTAATTTGCTGTTATATGTGATCATGGAAAATGCATGGTTTGCTGGTGTTGTCATTGTGAGGGTCACAAATAACAGGACACAAATAACATTGGGCTTAACTTTTACACATATCTTACCTGCTTGACTCTTAAATTACCTCTCCTACCATCAATCAACATTTGCTCTAGTGCTTTTTCATGATGTATTTGGTGAGATCTCCTGGGTTTTAATTTTCACTGGATATTTTGGATAGTTTGGAATAATGACCAATGGGCTGGATACAAACTAACACAAACTGAGTATGAATGGTCTAAATTTGGGTATGAATCAACAGAGTATGAAACTTCACTGGAAACGAAATGACTCGATACCCTCTGTAAATGGTCTAGATACATTTGCCTCTCTCTCAATCATGCAGATGCAAAACTAACCATCAGTTACAACTTTTTTTTAAACCTTCCTATGCTTCATTGCATTGAAATGTGCATCTTGGAGATCAATGTGGCTCATTGTAGTGTATTTAACCTTTACTTTGGTTTTTTCAACACACAATAGCAGTGTGCTTTATCTCCCTCTTCACAGTTGTCTACGGCTATTGAAAGAAAATGAAGAACTTGAGGCACAGATCATGAAAGATGTTCCTGATTGGAAAGTTGGTGAGAGTGTGTACCACACAGAAAAATGGGTCACACCTATGCCCATTCAAGTTGAAAAGCTGTAACATAGGTTTCTTGCATTTGGATGTACTTATATGTAAGTTTCTTGGTGTGGACTCAAACTTTGGCACACGTGTATTTTTTTATAGATGAATCTGTGGCATGTTGTCAATTACTGTTTTCAGTTCAGGTTTTCAGAGAGACTTAAGTCCATCAACTTTCTGTTCAGTTTTTTTGTTGGGAGTTGAAAGAGCGTCTTGGGGTAAAAAAACTTAAACTAGTCTTAACATGCCTTGTGAAAATTCTCAGACTATCTGTTGCAATTAAATGTAATTTATCTCCAACAATAAACTTCAAAAGTGAGTGAAGGTATGGCTTTCTTTATAATTGCTCTGAAATTTGCCTGATCAGAAATAAACATTATTCATAACCACAATGTTTTGTTTTGTACATGATTGTGAAAATTGTTTCTAGAGGACCGTGGCCTGGAGTCAATCTGTTACTCTTATACTTGACTTAATGGAAACTTTGGAAGTACCTGATATCATTCTCATTCAAAGAGACTTAGGTCCTGACATCGTACTAAGTAAACTGTTCATTAGGCCAATGCTTAATCTATCATGTTTTTTTTTATCAGTTAGAAGTATGTGAAAATATCACAAAGTTTCTAAGACATTGTGGTATGGACACACTTTTGCTTTATGATGGTGTCTGCTTATGATAGCTTCTTCAGATACCTCAAGTGGGTTGAACTTCCTTCATTACGACCAACAGTCACTCTCCAAATTTCATTTCAGTTTGGAAACAGTGGACATAGAGTCACCTCAAATTGGACATGAGTGAAAACAATTTTATTTAGTCACAAAAACAACTGAGTTTGTAAGGTTACTTAATATTTTCAAAAAAGGAGGAGATATTTACACAATAAAAATACAGAGACTCATTGCTCTAGTCACAACTTTTATAAGTTTCCTATAGTTAGACATAAGTATTTAATGTTCCCAGTGGGATGGAACTGCGCTGCAAACTTCCAGAATTGACACTTCTTCTTGAAGTCTTCTTTGGTGTGTAGGTTCTTTGGTGAGTTGTACTGAACTCTCTCTCCTCTGGAATTGGAGGTCTTATATGAGACTTCTTAAGCTGTAGACAAAGGAGGAATATGAAGATGAATTAAAAGTTCAGGTCCTAACACATCAGCTTCCTCATATCCATTACTTTTTAAGAAGCAGGGATGGCACAGTGGTAAGGGCCCTCTCCTCTCACTGCCATGGCCCAGATTTGATTCCTGGACCTGGTGTCTCATGTGTGTTGAGTTTGTTTTTGGTTCTCTGCCCTTGCTTGTGGGGATTGTGCTGGTTACTCCAGTTTTCCACCCTCCACTAAAACCAACATTTCAAATTCCAGTATGACCTGGAAACAGTGTGCAAGAAGAGCCTCCTTGTGGAATGCCCATTGCTAAATTTCCATTATTACTTTTTTGTGAATTAAGATTCCTGTACTTACATTGTCAACTGCCAGGGGGTTGGGGATAAGTTTAGGGACTCCAGCACGAGATGGGAAATCACTCCAGCTTGTTGGCATGGTAACAGGTGCACCTTCTAAGAAAGGGAAACACAATAGAATAGAATTAAAACTGCTACTTGCAGTGTTAGCTGTTTGCTGCTAAATATATTTAGGACATGTAAAAATTGAAAGTATGTGGGCTTGCAAATTACCTTTTAATTGGGAGCCTTTTAGCTGCTATTAAATAATTCCTAATAACAATGTCTTGAGATATTTGGACAGTGTTACACACTAGACAAATGTCTATTCATTGGGGCCTAGTTTTCAATGCTGGATTACACTATTCGGAGACTAAACTGCCACCCAGAAGTTATTTGTCTACATAACTTATGGCACTGGTGCAATAGTTGGTAGGCTACTGTCTCTGCTGCGTTAACAGACTCAAAGAAGTGATCAACATGTAGCTTCTCACTATATTATTATACATTATTTGTTTCCATATATTATACACCAAACAGGTAATGGAAGTACTCAAAGTTATCAAGTAAAAGTTGTTATCTTGATCTAACACCAAATTCTTGTAACTAACTAACAACAAAATGTCAATCAGCTAGAAGGGAGAATTAAAAATAAAATCTTGCAAGATAAAGGGTTAAGGCTGTGGCTGCTTATAAGTTGTGTTAATCTCACAGTATTCAACAGCCTATCACAATATTTTATTAATTGGTCACATCCCAGAAGACAAACACTTACTGTAATAGTCAAGAGGAATGCTGCTACTTGTGGTCATTCCTGGATCAGCTTTCTTGTATGGAGCTGATACTGCAGTGAAGTCAGATTTCATTGAAGTTTCATAGAACTGTGCTCCTCTGGCAGCACCCAGATCCACATGAGATTCAGTTCTTAGATGAGAACCATCAACTATTTTATTTCTGAATCCAATGGCAGGTTTTCCATAGAAGATGTCATTGGTAGTTACACTGACTCGCTCATGGGCTCGTAGAGGATCTCTGTCTCCCTCAGGGAAGCTGCTTTTTCCCATGTCAAGGTTGGCAGACATGTTCCTGTCTATAGCAAGTTGGATCACAAAGATTACTTAATAAACTTGTGAAATACTAACTTGCATCATGGCTATTTCGTATTATTACTAATAACATTTTGTTAAGGGCAGAAGTTAGTTGGTGTTGTCTTATCCTTTCTGCAGGATAACGCTATGGGATTTGTCGTGTATGACTGTTATGAAATTTATTTAGCAGTTGTGAATAATCATGATAGGAATTTGTTGTTTCTGGTGATTAGATAACCAGAGTTTCAAGAGACTCTACACTTGATGTGAGGCCATTAGGAATATTGTATTGCTACTCCCCTCCCTCCCCTCCCCTTATGAATGGGATGCCAGTCCACAGCATGGCTACTTCTTGGTTTTCATAATATTACAGTGGTACCCATTGGTCTAAAAAAGCCCAGTAAAAAGTATCAAAGATGGCTAAGTTCACCTGTCATAATGCGCACAGGGTATGACTCAGCTGCTGTGGTCCCCAAGTGACCAGGAACACGCCTGTCACCCAATTGGAAGGTAGTTCTGCGCAGGTTATTGACAGCCTCTCCCCTGTCAAAAGCAGATAATTCTTTGATAGTGGGTCGTCTGAAAGATTCCTGTTGGGTTGAGGTGGAGTAGTTGCACTTTTCCTGATCACCTTGGGGAATACTTGATCCCCTATCCTACAATTAAAAAATAAATAAATAAATAAATAACTGAGATGATGAGAATGGATTTTATACCCCTCTGCTTTGTTAAGGATGTTTCCTCAATAAAACACCATGAGCTTGAAGAAAGAGTTTACTGATGGGATTTGAGATTGAGTTTGACCAGCATCTAATTTTTTCTTACTGACAGTATCAATCCAGAATTAAACATTTAGAACTTGAGAAGAGAGGAAATGATTGCAGACAGAAGCTCTGAATAGTTAAACAATAATTATTGCTCTTTGTAAGAAAGAAGAAGAGAGATTCTTCTCCATCCTAACAGTATTTTCCAAACTGAGAAGATCAAATGATAGAAAGGAATTTCACAGAGTTGATTAAAAACTCTTGAACAGATTGTTAATCCAGACCCACCAAAACTTTCCCTGGATCCACCACTGTGGCTATTTACTGTTACTCTTCTAATTAACTCACCCTCAAGGCCGGATTCAAAAGTTGCTGCTTTGGTAGATAACGACCAACAAATTCTGACTTGGTGGTTGTGGTAAATTGCCCCATGTGGTGAGTTCTTGCATCCCCAGTAATAGTAGGTGGTCCTTCGTTTCTGTCAATGGGTGCCAGTGCATCTTTTTTACTGAGCTGTTTCCCTAGGAACTTACTACGGTAGTCTGAGTGTGGCCAAAGCTCCTTCTCTTTATCACCTAGATGAGGTTAGGTAGAGTTAGTAGGGTAATTTAGTAATATCAACTGAGTTGATAATGTAAATTGGTCATCATAAAGAGTTTCAAAGCTGTTGGTGAAACTCTTCCTTTCAAAGCTGTGAAACTCTTTACAGAGGCCAATTTATACTATCAAATCAGTTGTTAATACTAATTTACACTGTTATGCTCCCATGGAGATGCAGCAGCACCACAGTTTCTTTAGAAACTTACTCCATTCATTAAGCTGGAGTTAGGTCTACTCTTAAGCCTTAATGATTCAAATGAGAAGAGCTATCCTGGTTTCCCCAGCTTGAGCATTGAGCATTTCTTCTACCTCTAGACAGCATGTATGTCTGTCCCAGGTTTACCCTTACCCTCTCCCCCCCCCCCCCTTGTGCTGGCATTTTGCCACTTCCTTTTTATATTGGGTGGGTGAAAAAAGGCACTGTGAGTGTAAAATATCTTGCCCAAGTCATTAACCCTTTAACTCCCAAGATCTGATTGTGAATTCTCCCCTCTGGCTGCTACACATTTCTGTAAATTAGTTATGAGAATTTGTTGTTAGATCTAGATAACAACTTCTACCCATTCCAATAAGTTTGAGTATTCTCATTACCTGTTTGCTGAGTAATGTAAGGATATTATGGGGAGAAGTTAAATGTTCATCACCTCTGGGAGTTAAAGGGTTAACAAGCGTTATCCAAAACATTAGGATTAGGGGTTCGTATGGGAGGGAAAAGTGAACGTGATTAGAGATTGCTTTGAAAGTAAAGAATATGGAAATTCTTTATGGTTGAATCGAATCAAGGAAGTCTGGTTGAAATACCAGGATGGAAAGACTAGACCAAAGAGATTGAATATAAACTCAAAAGGATGTATATTAATTGTCCAGGAAGCAGAAACAACATACCTTGAGGGATGTAGCTTCTCATCCAATCCTTTTTTCCTGTAGCAGCTGGATTCCTTGCTTCATCAAGAGGCCGAACTGGATAATACTCTTTGTGAGTTGTCTGGAATGACTTGAGCTGTCTGTCAGAGTCCATTTTGAAATTGGTTTTGGTCAACGTAGATGTAGAGTTGGCATAGTTTTGTTTCCCTGGATTTTTTCCAACGAAGTGTCCTCGCGTCATGGAACACTTATCATTGTAGCGGTCATCTTTGTGCATGATTGTTGCAGGAGATGGTGAAGGTATGCGCTCCCGCTTAGTCAAAGGGAGAGGAGGGTAGTCCTTTTTAAATGTGCTCTTGTACACAAGTGGGTCCTTGCTAGGAGCCCAGCGATCTTCATGACTGATTGTAAAATGAGAAGCAACTAGGAATTCTGTACCTGTCTTCTGAGCGGGTATCTTGTTTATCAAATCTGTCATGTTCCTGAGATCGTAAAATGACAGATTTCACCTGCGGGTATAAATTAAATAAGTAAAACACTTAACCACACCAAAAGTAATTTATCGAGCTATTGACCTCGAGAAACCGATTTAAAGAACGATATTGCTCGCTGCATACTTTTTACAAAGTAATTGGACTGGTTAGACAAAATTGAACAAACTGGTTCCGGCAGGCCAAGCTCTTATCTAAATCCGTAAGCAAATTTGAACATCATGCTTTTGTCGCTTCCCTGGCTCATGGATACTTTCTGACTGACTGTTAAGAGTTCTAGATGGAGTAAATAGATATATTTTTTTTCGTTGCATACTTGTTTTCAGCTGAGAGGATCATTACAGATCATATTTCTGGGACTTCGACCATAGAGTCTCTTGACTGTTTAACTCAGCTGCGCAAATGAACTCCATAACAAAACAAACATATGTCACTTTGCCGTTTTCTAAAATTAATCGATTTTACGTTAAACATAATCAGAACTTTAAGTTACCTGCTCAAAGCAAACAACAGCCCGATATCGTGGGGAAAAAAATCGGTCTTTGCACCTCGCGAATCAAACTCTCGAGTCGAAGTCACGCAGTAATGTTCCTTTAACTCCTTCGATTTTTTCGTTGCTATGACAACATTGCAACTTCCGGTGACCTAACCTCGCTATCAAGAAACATTTGAGAACAATTACAGCTGACATAACTAGGGATAAAAATCAAATTTATATTAAATGGGATGCCGAAGGAAAAAAAGTAAAAGGATAGGGAAAGCTTGATGAAATATATTTTAGGAATGAGTGATACGGAAGGAAAAAATGTTGGGAAAAGGAATCTCAAAGAAAAAAAAATTAGGGGTGATCTACGAAGCTAAATAAGTCTAGTCTTTCTTCCTGTCATCACAGGACCCTGACAATCACGCTTTTGGAAATGACGTCAAACGACTACTTTATCAACAAGATATCAAATGATATGGAGAAGATCAAGGTGATATGACGCTAAAAGTTCCCTTATGGTACCTCGGCCAATGAAATAGTTGAAATAAATATGATTCTTTTAAGGTGACTACTCTTGATGTCAACAGACACACACCTTAATTCTTCATTTACCCAATTCCCAAATTCTAAACTCAACTCTGCAAATAATGGGCTCCTGGAAATTTCCCCACAATTGTAAGAGCTTAGCAATTTCTCTTGCATACTTATGTACAACATGGGCATTTTTGAAACTGAACAAAGTTACCACTTGAGAAAAAGGATTCTTTTAATGATTAAGTGTAAAAAGATCTTAAAACTTTCTTTAAAGGGTTTTTTTTTCATCAAGGAAATGAACATTTTCCTTTTGTTATACAAACTAAACGATCTCAACTTAGATTAACGCTTATGATAGGACACTAGGAAATTTCTTTACAATTAAAAAGAGAAATAATTGTCACAAAAAATGAGATTCCAGTGTGAAGGTAAGTTGCTTGGTTTGCCAACATTGCACGCCTGAAATTAAGAATGAATCTAAAGAGCAAGGTCATATTATCATAGAAATGGAATTTTTTTAGTTGATGACTAACACTTGGTCTTGAAAATAAGCCATTTTATAGTTGTGTACTTAGCTGCCAATCCTTAAATTTAGAGTGAGGATGAAGGTGACCTTGTTTTGATAGAGACCAGTATCTAGTTAGCATAACAACAAGGCAATTTACATTTGATAGCAGCAAGATTTGTATCATAACAAGGTCACCCTTCGCCTCACTCCTGATAAAGGGCTTGGCAACCAAGCATGCAACTGTAAAATGGACTGTTGATGGAATGGAAATAATAAAAAAATATTACAACACCAGCAACAACAAAAACTCCATTGGCAAGTGATGAACAATATGCTGGTTAGATCTCAGTGATTATGTTTATCAAATCTTGTCCCCTTCCCTTGTTTGTGATCATCAACAATGTGGTGATAGATTCTGAAGCTGTTTAATGTTAAGCCATACAAATAGGATGCAAACTCTGTCGAGTTAGAGCTTACAACATACAAATAATGAAAAGGTGCCCATAGTGAAGAAATGTTTTTAAGTGAGCAACATTGGAAAGTCTCGTGTGTTTTATGAGTGTTATTGGCATTTCCAACAGCACATGAACCTGAAATGATTAACAATCCTCTTGAACAGATGTTAGCCAATATCATAATGATAACTTGGAAATAACAGTTTCCGAATGCTCTGACTTAGCAAAAGGCTCTATTTAAACCAGTAACAATTTGATTTGGAAAGCACTAGCTGTATATCGGACAAAATGGATGTAAATTGAGTTCAGTCCTAATTCAGCCCCCTGATAAAATAACACTGCCAAGACTTTAATTAAATTATAATTATTGCTTTTGAGATATTGGACAAGTAAAAGTGAGCCTGTTATTACTTCTCTCTCTCAAGTATCAAAGATCTCTGATCATAGAGATAGACAATAATTGCTAGATGCTTAAAATAATTGAAGTTCATTTAGCAGCCCAACAGACCACCAAGTAGCCCTATTAGAAAAAGCAAGAGTCACAGAAAGGAAAAGGCCCACTGAAAGATAGTCTAAAGCACAGAAGTTGGACGAGGAGATGGCAGATAAACTCAAAGATGTGGAATGCAACACCTTGCACTGCTCAACTTAGTCTGTCTCAATCCTGTACATGTACTGAAATTTCCAACAAAATAAATAGGAGTGCCACTAAAGTGTGACAGTGTATGTTCTCAGTTGAGATACTAAATGATTGTCTTAAATTTAATGTTTTATTTGAAGCAAGCCATAGGGACATAAGAAAATTGTCACATTAAAAAATAATCACTGATGAGATAGAAAAGAAATCATTGAAACAAACTTCATAAAAGTCCAAAATAAATGGTTGGATCATGTCCATAGTCATTGTTTAAGGTGATCGACAGTCCCAATTTATTGATGTGTTGTCCTTATCTTATCTTATCTTTTAGAGATCCACACAAAATTCTGCACTGTCTGCATGATCTGGTGACATTACTATCAAAAATCAACTGAAGAAGTCTCGGCAAAGACTTTTCCACACATGAACTGTCAATCACCTTAAATACTCATTGTTCCAAATAAGCTTAACTAGATTAAAATGTTTCACTATTTTAACTAGACATTCTTCTTCATTTTGTGCAATGTATCAAGCCTTCATGGAATAATAACAGACTCAGGATCTGATTCTATATTTAAGTCCATCTCATTTCATTATAAAATTGACCCAACTTTCTACAAAAGGTTCCAACATCTTTATCAATATACTACACAATTATTGGTTATGAGCCAAATGTTAAGGGAGGCAAATATCATTTCTGTCTTGCCACTGGCTGCTTCTTCTTCTTTCTCCTTTTGAAAAAGCAACAACACCTATAGAGACAAAAGGAAATGTCACAAGCAGCCCCCTTGCATTTCTTTCTTTAAACCTGTTCTAAATGCTATCTTCCATTTAATTACATTGGAGCAGACACATAGAAATGTTTGATTAAGTTTTTTCTGATAACTGACAACCTTGCAAGACTTTTCCTAAATTTCATACCATGCACAGACCATGATTGTAGCTCCAACCTTTAATCTCTGTAAATAGAGACCTCTATCAAAAAGGCACTTGCTTCCTGTCATAAGAGTGTTCCTCTGCAACAGCTCTTTGTCCAAGTTGATAATAGCTCTTCATTCACATTTTAAATAAATCAATCCTTAGAACCTTCACTTAACCAATGTTGAATTTGGTTTTTTGTTCACATTTGAGCTAGATTACCACTCAACACCTTTTCTTAGTTATGCTGCCAGTGGAGAAAGACAAGGACTTTTCACATTCCACAATAGGGATAATGGAGTACAGTATTGATCAAATACATTATAGTAAATGTTAGTACATACTTTGTTTCCTCAACAACTTCAACTTCGGGTTGCTGTTGTGCATGTATGGGGGTAACACCCTTCTCGTGTCGGCCATCATCAGGACCAAGGTCTCCATTCGTTGAACTGACCACCTGTACAGAGCCCCCTAATCTGTCTGCAGTTGGTGGCAGTAGTCCAGCAGACTTCAGGGCTTGTGAATTGTCAGCCCAGGCACCTTTTCTGTCTTGCGCAGACTAAGGAAATACCACATAATAACGTCAACAATCTCACACACAAAAAATTTTTCATTGAAGTTTCAAGATTTTTCTTATAGCAACCATTTTACAATTGAAGGTTGCCAAAAGGCAACTTAATTAAACATTGAGCTTGGAGCCCTGCACACAACAAAGTCAACCCTTTGAAAAACAAGGCCATAAGACAGACACTCTATCATACCTTGTTTGTTGCAGAAGTGGTTGTTCCTCTCTCATTTCCTTTCTGATATCCAGGTGGAAGCTGAGAATCTCTTTGATTGTGTTGATCTGAGTGGCTCAGAGAATTAATAGGGCTAGGCTGTGGAATGTCAAATTAAAAAATATTTAAGTTGCAGCAATCACTGAATCAGAACAAGCAACAAACTGAGACTTATCATAATACTGGTAAAAGTTGTGCATCTGGTGATCATTACTAAAAGATGGCCACTGTGGAAATTCAAAGTCCATAGGTTAAAATAAATTACATTTAGAACGTTTTATAGTTGTGCTCTTACAATTTGCTTGTGTGTCCAATCAAACTCTCCATCGTCAACATAGCCTTTTCTCTCAAATAAGTCCTTGAACAATTTTCTTAAATACTCATAGTCTGGAGTTTCAAAGAAATCAAGTCTACGAACATAGCGCAGGTATGTGGCAAGCTCATCTGTGTTTGAAAGAAAAACAGTTTGAAATTAATGTTAAATGCCACCCAAACACTATCAGGCAGTCAGAATTATGAATCTTTTAAAAAGGAAAAACAACACAATATTTTTACACCTGAAACCTGTTAAGAAAAAATAGAAAAAAGTGTTGTGCAGACATAAACATCTAGGAGACAAGTATTCATAAGGAGTAGTCAAAGTTGTATTGAAGGTACAGAAAAGTAACTGTGGCCACATTCAGTACCTTGCAGGTTACTGAAAAATCTATGATTTAGAAGGAATACAACAGTGATGCTTCTAACAATTCCAATATTTCGTGCCCAAAGCTTCAAATGGGTTGCACAATATCTACCTGGGTGATTCTCACATAGGACTTCAATGGGTGTTGCACGTTTTGTGTCACCAATCTTTTGATATCTCTCTTTCAAGGTGTCTGCCTGTAAACAAAATTATGAGTCATTAGCCCTTTAAGTCCCAAGATCTCATTAGTGATTCTCCTTACTGTCTGCCAAACTATTCTCATAATGTTAGTTTGGAGAATTTGGCATCAGATCAATTAGTAATCCTATAATTGATGTATTTCTTTATTCTCATTGCTTGTCTGCATGATATTGTGTAGATATAGTAAAAAGAAATTCTATTATGGTCACTCACAGAAGATAAAGGGTTAGTAAGAGCAATTTTCTTCTATTAAGCAATATGACAAAGAAACTGTAGACATAATAAAAAAGAATTTCACAAAACATATGAGACCTCAAATTATGGTCAAAAGTTGAGTAACAAGTACAATTCAGAGTTAACTTACTTTGAGTCCTTGCCATGGCAGGCTACCTCTAAGGAAGTACATGAACATGTGCCCCAGAGCTTCTAAATCGTCTCTCCTACTTTGCTCTGAAAACAAGTTATGCAAGAAATATATAACTGTAAATTTAATATATCTTCTTGATAATACTTTCTCTTCTACTTTGCTCTGAAGATATGGTACACAACCAAATGATTGCTACAAACATAATTCATCCTCCTGTACAATTAAAAAAAAAGACTTTGGAAAGTAAAAATGATATTTTTTGGCCTATCAAAATTATTGCGCCATCTACCAGTTTCTATATTACAATTTAATTTTGTAGCCAACATTGAATACTCAACACCTGCTACTAACAGTAATAGATAAAGAAGACAGAAGCCATATCCAATATATATATATATTTTTTTCTTGATACAACAAGAATTTTATCCCTGGACATAAAATCTTAGATCTTTTAGATAGCATGGAGTATACTTCTCCACTCTGGAAATTAATCCTTGATGTTGAAAACATTTCTACACAATGATTAAAAAACTTGAAAATAAACACCCACTCACTGGAAACATTAATTTAACATGTCCAAATTTTGGCATTGATCCATATCACTTCAAGAGCCATAATTATTGTCTATGCGACAAACTAACTCTTTCCACAAACTCTGACCACAATAAGATTAAAAATCATAGAGTACCTTTCCCTAGATGTGTGTTAATACTCATGTATCTTGCTGTCCCTGTTAGACTTTTGTGTTCTCGATAGGGTATATGCTTCTTAGTCTCTGGATCAATATACTCCTTTGCAAGACCAAAGTCTATAATGTGAATTGTTTTCTCTTTGCCTGAGGATTTCCGGCCAATAAGGAAATTTTCCGGTTTAATGTCCCTGTAGATCATATTCTTAGAATGAACACATTCAAGTCTTGAAATCTGTAGAAAAAAAGGAGTGAAATGGATTATAGTATATGTTTACTGTTCAAAACACTCTAGCTTTCATCATGTGAGCCCAAATAACTATTGACTCTTTCAAGTACACACAATTGCCATGTAAAACTCAGAGAGATTCCCAAAGAGATTTGCAATCACAAATCCAAGATAACTTGGGGTTTAAAAAGATGGAAAAAAAATGAACAAACAAACAAACAAACAGAACAGTGGCACATTACCAAGAACTAACTTAACAGTTCAAACTACACAAAATAGCTGACACTGTATGTTATACTTTTCTAACTCAAATTAACTTATTTATGACAAAATTTAATAATATCCCATAAATAAAATAAATATGATTTCAGTTTACACTGCAAGCATCTTTCTTGAAGCTTTCAAGGTAAATAAAAGAAAGTTTGAATCAACAAAACAGTTCCTCCATCTCATTGTCTTCCAAAAGGAGATTTTCCCAATCAGCTAAGATTTTATTTTGTTAGGGCACTTGCTCTGTAAGCAAACCCTTAGTTGGCCTACAGTCATAATAATAATACAGGTCCATCCAGCCCTAATTTCCCATTCATTTCCCAGACAGTTCTCTTTTCAGCCCTACAAAAACCCTTTTAAAAATGTCACTTACCAGCTGAATAGCAATCATTAGCACTGTCTTCAAGCTAAACTGTCTATTACAGAGGTCAAACAAATCCTCTAAACTTGGTCCCAAAAGTTCCATGACTAATGCATTGTACTTTCCACAGGGTCCAAAGTAATGCACTTGAGGTACTCCCTCTGCAAAGTGTCAAAATGAACTTTAGTTTGAAACTTTTCAATTTTTTTCTTCTTGAAGTGATTATCACTTCATAGTTTCATTATAATGTATTCACTTCATCATTAAACAGTATATACTCTGATTACATAGGACCCCTCAACTATGTTTTCAAAGATTCAAAAGAATCAGTTGCATCTGCCTCAAAAAGTGAAAAAAGACAAGATTCAGCCGAGGTTTTCAACTACAAAAGCAGAGAGCATCAGGTGTTAAGTTTTACAATCTATCAGTACTGCTTTCTCACCTACATGAGTTGCTGACAGAAAAAGGCAAGCAAAACCCTTCTAAGCAAACAGAAAGCGGACATACATGTATCATGGAGTTGTCTATGATATCAATACACTATGCATCTTAAATAATCATAAAACTCTCACACGTGCATAGAATCCCAAAGTAACAAATATACAATACAAAATATATACCTTGTGTTACAAACCACAGAAATAACACCATAGAGTTTGCTAATGTAATAAATTGGAGGTGTTGTCCACTTAACAAAAAATATGTATTCTGTAGTCTAAACAACCATGATACCCAGATGCATTAAAGCCCAAAATGTCAGACAAAGTATGCATTCTTTACAAACACATTATTGACGAAATAACATAGAAGTCAACTCCTATGCAGAACAATTTGCACAAGATCTCTTGTAACCTTTTTGTTTCAAAACTTGTCTCCCGCACTAATCTTTTATAAAACTTTTGTGTAAAAGGTTGTATTACATGGTTACATGTATACTATTTCACATGAAAGAAATCATAGTCTCTGTGATAGAAAAATATGGCCTAACACTCCAATTCTCAGGAAGAAACACAAGCTTTAAACAGCTGTATCAACTTCACAGTTTCTCCACCTTAAATAAGTAAATTGTATAATCTTTCCAAATAAGTAAGTTGCAATTTCTTTGTTGCACAATAGTGCAGAAAAACTGACTACAGCTAACAAGTTATTTGATGGAAAGTATTGATAAGGAGAAACATGATATGAAAAATAGTAGTGAACTTTGATGGTGTCAGCTGAATAAAATCCCCTGTGCACTATTAGATACCTCAACAAAATGACCCTGACCCAACTCCATTGCATTATCTATTAACAATAAGCTATTACATGAAGAACAGAATCAAGGTTTAGGCAAGAGATTTGGCACTATTTCAAACTTGCAATTCACAATTTGTGATCTAGCATCCATGTTTATCTTCAACTGTTCAACCCCTGAGAGTGACTAGTATCTAATATCTCTTTACAATATCACCCCTGAATCACACATCAAGAATAAAGGAAATGATCAATAAATGGTAAAGCTCTTGATTGTCAAACAAATTCTCCTTGTCACCACCTTAGGGAATATATAGAGTACAGTATGGAGATTATGCATACTGATGTTAGGGTGTAAAGGGTTAAGAACCAATTAATCTTTTCAATCCAAACCTGCCAAATTGCCATCATCCTTAATCATTACATCATAGGTGTATTTTTACATTTTTACAAATTGCCATCATCCTTAATCATTACATCATAGGTGTATTTTTACCTAATTTCAACATTTGCTACTTGTATCACAACACCACATGATGGTCATTTTAATGATATTACTGTTAAGCAGAAAACTTTGGGACACATTTCATCTAAATAAGTTATTATAGTCAAATTGGCTACACTCCACTTAGTATGAAGGAAATAAGTGATGAGGATAAAAGTGTTACTAGCACCTAAGAAAATTTGCAATGAATCAAGTAGAATGTTTCATATATGCTTGAGGTAGCACGATCTTCTCTACCATTTAAAAAGTAACCCAAGTTGATGTACTCCAAAAGACAAACAGTACCAGGTACTTTATCAAGAACTGAGATAAAAATCATCCATATGACTGAGTTTAAAATTCATAACTAGATTCACCAGAAAAAGCCTTCTGAATAAAACAGCAAAGCTTGCCCACTCACTGCTCTTTAACATAACCCTTACTTACAGCTGCAATACATCACCTGGAAATTTGTTTGGCAGACTGGCATTTCCACACAGCCACCAATACAATTCCCACAAGTTAGAAAAGAATAATAATAAATTAAAACAACAACAATAGAAACAAAAAATTTTCATTTCCTTGTGTCAGACAAATGTTTGTCTTACACACATTAACACAAAGATGAAGATGAAGTGAAGTTATTGAGAATTTTGCATCAAGCCAATTCTAATCATTTTTGTATATGCATAAAGAGAAAACACAGCTGCCATCCAGCATTCCACTCTTTCAACTATTACACCTACAAGCTGGGTTACATTTTAACAGTAATTTTCTTTGTTCCATCTGCTTTGGAGATGATTGAGAAAGTCCAAAATACTCTCACATTTGATCTTGATTTATTGTGAAGATGCCTTCTTTATAGCACCAATTTGACCACAGATTGCTGTTCATTTTTCAGAAATTTTGATACAAGCCTCACAGGAGTATTATAACACCCTTCTAAACTGAAACTTGAAATTTCGAACATACTGCTTGTGGTGAAAGCAAACTATTTGAACACCCTTTGGGTTTGGTCAAAGTGTCTGATCCTGCCTTCTTTTTGTTGTTTACTACAAGAACAGCTCAACAGATATAACATTATTTGCTGATTTTCAAACGCAGAGAGAAATTTTTTTAAAGTTATTGCTGCTATAAGGTTACTGGCTGTTATTAGATATTAAGTTAAAAGACTTGCTCTAATTGTGAAGGAAATAAATATTCAAAATTGGTGAACGAAAAAACATAAAAATAAAAAATATCCTTTTTCAACTAATTTCCACAGTGTCACGTTTAAAGGAAAGAAGGTTGCATCATTAAATTGTGTCAGAACTGCATAAAGAAAGGAAAAATTGGAAAATTCAATAAATTTATGTCACCCCCAACACAGTAAAGAATTTAAAGCCATAAGAGCTACGATCACAAACTTATCGTCACAAAGACCATGTTATTTACACACCATTTTATCAAACGCATCTCAAATGAAAACGACCAATGAAAGGTCAACTTTCGAGAAAGCCAAAAAATTAGAATACCCAGAGTCACATAATTGTCAAATTATTAATGACAATATTGTCCTCGATGATTAAAAAATTTTTCAAAATAAATCAACGTTTTGCCCATCTAAATTCTCAAAAATGCCAGATCCGAATAGGCAATACCGCAATTTGTTTGTTCTGAACTCCATATCTCAAATTGAAGTTATGACGATGAATTCAAACGTATTTTGCCCGCACTTGCTTCCAAACAGCCTTGAACGATTAACATGCAAAAGGAGTATTTAAATGTGCTTTTCTTGAATGAGCGAGATTTCATTATCGCGGTTGGGTACTGCGTTACAATCCACATGATTGATGAGAAATTCTTTTTATTTCTAATACACAAAGGATGAAGTAACGTAGCTAAAATCGGACTGAAATGTTATTCCTACGAATCCACGCCGTTTCAGGAAAGAAAATAGATGACGACCTTGATCAAATTGGGAGCTTTTTCTCTCGTTTATTCGTCCCTTATTTCAGAAACTAAATTTACATGGATTAAGAATATTTAGAAAACTTTTACAATACAGTAATCCCCTTGGAGAGACAGATTTCGGGTAACCAACGGGTCATGTAACAGTTTGGAATATGATAATAAACTCAATGCAAGATTCACTCGAAAAGTGGAGAAAATAAAAACTGAAAGAGTTGTGATGTAAAGAAGAAATAGTTAAAAAGGGGAAAAGTGAACGTGGCCTACTGTTTACTGCTTGGATGTCTCTTATGATCAACGGCCCATCCAAGATAAATACAATGGATCACTCTATATATTTGGCACTTCCTGCAAAGCCGCAATCAACTTTAACGCATCGAGGCTAAAAGCTTTCTACCATTTTCACTGACTACTCAAAGTGAACTTACCAGCATTTCCGAGTACTTTATAAAATCGGTATTCCAGATGAAGTTGTGGTGCTCTAGATTTCATAGGCTCCTACGAAAGAAAAATATTTCGACATTTACCATCAGCTATAGGTAATATATCCTGTAATTCGTCAAGATATCTTCGCACCAAGCAAAATAAGTGAAGTCAGTCGCGACTTACCAGTTTGATGGCGACATGCTCATTGTTGTATAGATTTTTCCCTAGTCAACAGAGAGTCAATAAGTGAGTAATCTTATTGTTTTTATGATAAGACAAGGAGCTAGTAAACCGTTGAAAAGGCATAGTTTATACAAAACAAATCGTCTAAAACATGGTTGCCCACTAAGGTTCGTACCAAGTCGGAGTTCACCGAAGTTTCCACATCCAATCTTCTTGCCCACGCGAAAATTCGGTCCCACCATCATCACACCTGAACCAGACCCAGAACTATTCCTTGGCGAGTGTAAGCTTGCTCTGGAAGGCCGAGAAGCTTTTCTATCCCGTTCGCGGTCGCTCTCCCTTTCTCGTTTGGACTGCATATCGACGACCGCCGTGATATCCTGAGTCTAGGTTGCCGCCGGTGAGATGTCTAAATTCTCTTTCCCGTTTGACTGGAAAGCCATAAATGATAACTCATTCTGTTCTTAACACATCCCCGAGTACTACATTTCAAAACTACTACCTCCAAACTGTCAAAGAGGCGAATAACTGACGATTTCCTTGGCTTTACAGAACCCTTCAAACTCACTTCTGTTAAATGGAGAAAGTTGTTGAACACGCAAGATCAACGAGCATGCATTGCGAGCCGCGAACCCATGTCGCCTGACCTTCGGGTGGGTGTTGTCCCTTAGCAACCTTTGTTCTTTTATTCCGAAAGCTAAACAAAACGGACAACGTTGTTCATTTGTACCTTTACCTAAGGTTTTTAAAAAAAATGCTTGAGCAAGAAAACTCGATGCGTTCTTCGTCAACACGTTTTGAAATAATTTTTTTCATGAAGACTGTACAAATAATACCTTAAAATCTAGCGCTATTATGCTTGTTTAGATCTGTATATTTTGCAATGACACGTTAAATCAAATACTAAATCTCAGCGGTATTCAGAGAGAGACAAAGAAAACCACTTACGCTAAGCTGGCTTAAGCTATTAGAACTAAACAAGAAACAATTTGATTTGAATACCGCGATAGAGGAATTCCACAAATTTTGATCATCAATCAGTTAGGAGAACAAAAAATTAAAGGTGTGTTGAGTGTGTTTATTCATGACTCTTTTTATGATATCATTTATGTTATTGATATTAGCTCGTAAAAGAATAAGAGAATAGTACTGTTAACATTATTCATTGATCAACAAACCATTTAAGTGAGAGAAGCCTAATTACTGGCGATAGCGTAAAAAAAGCGCTGTTAAGACTAACTAATTGAATTTAGTTATGCAATATATATCGTGAGCCTTTCGGTCTTCTCCTCACTACTAGTCCTTCTGGGATTCCGGGAAAATCATTTAAAACCCGAATGCGAGAGGAGGGATCACAATTCTAGACGTTTTGGCGTTCTAGACGTTTTTTGTCCTCCGTTAAGTCTCGAGGCGTTTAATTTTGACCAACAGACTGGATCAGTTATCTCGGGCTTTTTTGAAGACGCTCAGTCCTTCAAAGAATTGATAATAAACTTTTCTTCGACGCCTTTGTCCGTCAACGTCTTTGACCGAAAGACTGATTCATAATATTGAAAAATACTCTTTGCGAATATTCTGTAAAGAGTCTTTGTTGAGCAGAAGTATCTATTCTAATCATATTCTTCTTTTTCAGCCGACGTTTGTCTCGACAGCCGGCTGAGAGAATAATATCAATTGTTTTAAAAAAAAATGTAATTAATTTTTTTTTAATTGTTTCAAAAAGATTTAATTAAAATTAATTGTAAAAAAAAAATATTAAAAAAACCTTGTTATACTCCGGCCCGTCTTATTATTCATTTATCAGAGGAGGTCTGGAAACAAGTATGAAAATAAGCGGGAAAATGTGGTCAGCGGTGATAAGCAACAAAACAAAATGCGCTTTTGGGACATTTTCCGTTGGAAGCATCGTTTTCTTTAGGTTTTCAACTGATTGTTTTTATAACAAAAGAGGTTTTTAAGCGCCGGTAATGGATGTCACATAAATTGCCGTCTCTTAAAGTTTCCAGCCACTTCAAAACAGTGTAAATCATGTGAAATGGCGACGAGTGATTGGAGTTCAACGTACACGGACGGTGTTGTTTCCGCAAACCGGTCGCTTTCTCCCATAGCTGTGTCAACAAGCTCTCCGCAAGACAGCGGGAATAGTTCACCACATTCTCCAGATTTTGCTCGAGATGTAAGTGTCCTTAAAATTATCTTTTATAGAAAAATATTTTTGTCTATACAGGCTCTTCAGCTCGTAATTATAAATGATTTTGAATGTTAGCGACGACTTATGATCGTGTCGATTTCCTTGTGTCCATAACAGTAACGCTTTGGTTTATATGAGCTTAAGTGAAACCCTATTTAGAATTCATGTCCGGACTAATAGCAGTTATTTTTGCACAGAATTTTTGAAAGAAAGACACCGTTTCCTCTTTGATTAATTATATTTTCTTCAGTGTGGCAGATGGGCTTGGATTTTGCGTCCACCATCGAACTGAGGACAATGTTTAGTTAGGGAATTTATTTCAATAGATTCCGACATCCGATCATGAATCACCGTTTAATTGTTTTTTGCACAATAGTATTATGGTTTTAACATCCTTATTTTTAAAATTAAACGGATGATCTCTCAGCATGGTGACAAAGACGGTGCCAAAGTTTTGTTTTCAATTCTCTCCAACTTACGAAGGTGTCGTGTACTCGCAATCTTCCTTCTACATAAATTTGAAATTTGTTTTTATTTTTTTGTTTTAGAATTTTTAGGCAATTCGTAGTGTAAGAATTATATGATGCTTTTTTGGTTAAACGTAAACCAATTCTCTTCAGATATTCAATATTGTATAACAGTTTTTGTTGTTGAAGTACAGTATGATAGGCCACTTTGTGCCTACATTACAATCCTTTGGTAGCTGTTGTGCTTTTACCTTTGTAAGTCAACTGTTTTGAGCCTCTCCTTTTGAAGTTTACTTGAAACAGTTTTTAGTTCAATCCTCAGTATCACAAGGGTGTAGTTGAGGGGGGGAGGCCCTAGGGTACCCTTGACCCCCCCATAGCTTTTATTTTTTAAGAAAAACAAAACATAGAGGTCAACATGACAATCTAGTGAGTACTCTCTGTTTGACAGTGTGCCTCCCTCCCCAACCCCCCTTTGAAAAATCCTGGCTAGGCCCCCAAATTTTTATTGGCTATGTAGTGGGCCTTATGGTTAGTGGGCTGGACTCTGAGTCCAGAAAATTGTCCGAAAGTATATATGGCTACTGGACTGAATTATCAGAGCAGTCTGATGAAATTTTGGGGGGTAACCTTGAGATTGGGTTGTTTTTTTATCTAAGGGGGAGCAGTGATACTTTGAGTTGTTTCATGCAAGGGAGACCAGGAGAAGCTCTGGCTGGGTGGGTCACTTGTCTTGAGTTGTATAGCATACAAACTCTAACTACCTACCTGTGTAACAGTTAAAGATTTGAACTGATTAAGCTTTTAAATTCTAGAATTTTTATTAAGTAAAGAAAATCTGTAGTTATAATACCTCTTGAAGTGTTTATTTAGTACAGTTTTTGGGTCTCTGTTTCTGTTTCTGTGATATAAAAGGTGTCTGCCTAGTAGGCAGTCTGTGTGATAACAGTTTCACTAAAGTTCCATGTTATCTTCAGAGTATTGAGCAGGCTGAAGACATGAATGAGACACCAAGGGAAAGAAGCCATGTGGCTGAATATCAAAAAGAAATTCAAGATCTGAGAGGGCAAATTCAGAAATTACAGGAGGCTGGAAATGTCGGGGAATACTCTGGTAGGGAACACTTCATTGACCAATCAAGATCATCTTCTCTTTGTGATTTTTTTCTGTTCCTTTAAGGCTTTGACAGCATTCAGTTATTTCATGACATTATATAAAGATAACATTTTAACCAAAAAAATTGTTGCATTCTGTCATGGCATAGATTCGACTGAGCTCAGACGAAAACTTGCCAGAATTGAAGAGGAGCATGCAGAGAAAATCAGAGAATCTAATGAAGAGGTATCATTGAATTGACTAGAATAATGATTAGATGTATTTGTACGCAAATGGTTAAAATTGGAAAAGTAGTGTTGTGATCTGATAAATATCAACTGAAGGCTTAATGCAATACTTTTATTAATAAAAATGTTTCAGTTGGTCTTGACACAGGCACAAGTGTAGTAATTTGCACACAGAAAAATTTTCTTTTTCTTTTTTTTTGTTTGTAAAGTTAACTGCCTGAAGAGGTCTGGTTGCTGTTGTAGTTATTTGTAGTGATACACAAGTGGATGCCTATGTGTAGTAGACACAGAAAATGTGAAAATGTGGGTTTGTAATGGTACATAATGGTTCTTTACATAAACTGGAGAAAATAAATTCAATTTGATAAATCTAAAGACACTGTGGCAGAAAAAATAAATTATCTGGCAAGCAAAATGCTTTTTAGGCAGTGTCCAATAGAACTGAGCATTTTTTTCCTTGGTTGTAAACTGGTGAGAAAATTAAGTTTTAAATCCTATGTCTTTATAGATCATGGGACTTCAGAGCCAAATTGCCAAGCTACGATCTGCAGTGGAGAAGGGCGAGGCAAACAGACAGAAGCTTGAATATGACCTGACTATTGCAAACACGTCAGCTAGTCAAGAGAAGAGGATGGCAGCTGAGAGGGAAAGTGCTCTCCAGAAAACTGTTGCAAATCTTAAAGGTGTGTACAGCTTAGCAAATAAATAGCATCAATGTCTTTGCATTATAAATAAATTTATATTAAGTTGAGTGGTAGAGAAGGTAATGTTTGTACTTCAGGGCCAGACCACCCTTGGGGATTGTTTTGCTCTTTCTATGCAAAAGGCTACTTGTGAAACCCTTTCTCTATGTCCTTCAGGTTAGAAGGGTAAACTCACAAATATTGGTCACATATGCAGGTGTGGCACTAATGGGTATCCATTTATGCTCATTTTTAACCTGAAATTGGATAAAATCAGATGCTGTGGTCTAAAATGTTTAGGGTATTATGCAAACTTGAGAGGAGGTGAGGGGGTTTGTAGACTGAAGCTTTTTTTATCAGAGGCAATTTTATAAATCGTATACAGATATGAAACAAGTTGGGGAAATATTACTTATTTTAGAAATAGGGAAGGAAGTATAATATCAATTAAATGAAATGATCACCAACTACTTTAGATTGTTAAAATTATCCTGCTCACAATCTGTTTCACTTATTAATTCTCTTGGGTAGAGTGACTCCTGCAGTTTCTATACTAACTTATCTCATATGAACAGAAAATATCAATCAGCTTAAGAAACAGTTACAAAATGTTGGAGAAGCCCTGGAAGAAACACGTCAAACTGGCAAAAACGAAGAACACAAAACTAACCAGTTACTTGCAGAAAAGGTGGGATGCAAACTATGTATTTAGAGATAAGGCAACAACCATATGTTGGAACAGGTTGTTCAGAGTGTTAGCCCTTAAATTCCCAGAAGTGGTTAACATCAAACTTCTCACATTATCCATACATTATCAGAAATGTGTAGCAGCTAGAGGGCAGAGTTAACAATCAGATACTGGGAGTTAAGGGTTAAACATCATATTGAACATTCCATTTTTGGGGG